TTAATTTAACTTTGCCACCCCCCCTCCCTCCCCTGCACTGACATATGTTTGGTCAAAGGGAGGGCTGGGAATACAAAGATCCGGAGGAAATCCGAAAAGCAAACTACTTCTTTTTATCTCCTCGGGCAACACAAACGTTTGCAGCAGACCCGTAAGAATCAGGCCAAACACCTTTTTATTAAGGGTTAAAATGGCGTGACGTTTAAATTAGGGCAACAACTTAAGATATTTGTAAAAGTTTCACCTGCTGCCAAGCGCAAAAGGGAGATAATGTTTTTACCTGTATCTGTTAGTTTTACAGATATTGACCTATATTTGCTTTGTTAGTAGCTGACACTCATCCTAATCTTTTAACTTTTGAACTAACTAATAAGGCAATATTTTGCTGTTCTGCATGAAATCACACATAACGGCGATTTTAGTTTAAAACTGTTATAAAAATCGTTGAGCGATATGCATTTCTTAACGGAATGCTAATTTTTTAAAAGCTTTTTCCACTCAAACGCAGTTTTTTCTCCAAAATAAAGTCAAGCAGAGATTGAGAGTCAGGTTTAGGCGTGCCATTTGTTCCACTCAATATATGGAAAGGTCTCTGCCTATATCTGGACAATGCAGCTTTTTTCTGTATATGCATGTGTGTGTTTGCTGGACAGAATGCACACGCTCACACATCGTGCCCTGAGGATCCTCCTGACTCTCTCCTGGTGTTATCAGATCAGAGAGACCTGCTGTCCCTCTATGAGCCCTCCCCGCACCGCAATGCAAATGAAAAGGAATGTGCTGATAAAAGGCCAGATCCTGGAGATGAGAGGGCAGGAGGAGGACAGCAAATGCTAAAGGTGGGAGGTGGGGAGCGCTCTTGGGGAGATGACAGGGTGGCTGAGGAGTTGGTGTTGGTAGTAGTGGGAGATCATAGCCATGCTCCCCCCTCGGTGGCGTTTGATACGGGGCTTTTGTCGCCCTTTCAGAAGTGCATTGTTGGGTGGTGTAATCCCCGTCGGATTACAAAGAGCTTCCCTTTTCATATAGGGGGTGCAGACCCTGAGCTGTCAAGGGGCGGGAACCTCTTTTTCAGGGGAGGGGACCCCCAGTTCCTCTTACCTTCACAGGAGCTTTTAGCTGGGAGGCCAGTCAGGCTCAGGTCAGCGTGGGGACAATCCTGACGTGGGACTCAACTCAGCCTGACCCCGCGGCTTCCTGTTGGGAGGCGACAAGGAAGGAGGTCATCACGTGGCACATTTAAACCTGAAAAACACAGGAACGTCATTAAAATATTAATAAACAAAACATGGTACAACTTATGTTTGATTGCAGTGTTGTTGTTTTTCCATTTGCTGACGAATGCAAACGGTGGTAATGTGTTTTTTTTTTGTTTTTTTTTGCCTGCAGTATTAGCAAAATTTCTCATGAACCACTGGATAGATATTATGGAAATTCTATGCAATCACTGGCTGTACATGAAAGTAGCTAGTCACAGCTAAGTGGTCGTAACAAACACAAAAAAGTCAATTTTACAGAACATGAGCTGAAATTTGGAAAAATATCAATGACTAAACCAGCCATAACTCATCATTTGTCAGCGTAAGATAATTACAGTTTAAAACTCTGAAAGGAAGGAGGCAAATGCATTCCTCAAGTAATGCTTTAAGCCTTTATTTTCCATAAAACCTTCAAATAAAATGATTCTTAAAATCATTTCCTGGTGTTTTTCTATCAGAAATCCATAATATATCCATGCAAGCAACTATTTATTTTAATAAAAGTTCATTAATGGATTCATTTTGGGGCTAAAGAAAGAAAGAAAAGGCATTTGTCCAGCAAAGCTTAATATATGCTGGCCACCTCAGCAGTGTCGAACAGAGATTTAAACTCAATTGCTTTTTTTTCATCTGCTGTGTTCCAGTTATACCGGATCAATAAGACAATAGTGAGGGCCACCAGTATTTCTGTGCTTCTACCACGGCCTCCTCTGCAAGGGTCAATTGTGTGTGTAAAAGACCAGTCCAGTTCAATCCACTGCTGTTCACCCTCTACTGGTAATCTGAACATTCGTCCACGCCCTGTCAGATGTTGTGAGGGACCAGTTCAGTGGCGCTGTATTCATGTGTCGACTGAAACATCCTTGTTAGTTTTATTTTTTGTTGTTGTTGCTCAGCTCAAACATCCGTGGAAAGATTTAAACTGTTAAAGGCAGAATTTCTGTAACCCATTCAGGCGGGATGTGCTGAAGAAAATTAAATTTAGTAGTTAAATTGTGTGTTGTTTTACAGCCCGTTAAAATGCAAACCACATCGTGATAGTTATTTCTTATCTTTATAAACAAGACAGCTTTACTATGCTGCATTTACATGAGAATGTAGCAAAGCATACACGTCCTCATTCAGACCAAATTGAAACAGATTTAATAGCACTTTTAAATCCTGTAAAATTTGACCTTAGATTTACTGAAAACGCAAAACGTTGTGTTTCTCCCAACCTCCAAACGCATTTCAAAACCTTTTCAGAGCAAAAAAAACCACGTGGCACATTCAGTTTTTACCATTTTGCTAAATAATTGTACATTTGTTGCTGATTTTTAGTGATACAAGAGGAATGTTTACTTGTTAAATCTGTTATTATCACATTTATGTGAAAATAAACTAGTTGATGATGTGTGATTACTTATTTAAGTTAAACTAAATACCTGAGCATAGTTATTTAATTTAATCAACAGTAGCCTAAAGTGGTCAAAATTAATGGTTACGTGTTTAATAATATAAAAGGCATGAACTTAACCTAACAGACAGTTTTAAAATGTAATGTATGGATGAGAATCTGCAATAAAGTTAAGAATCAAAGCAGTCTGCTGGCTCCAGATAAATAACATTATTAACTTTATTTTATATACAGAATGTTTCTGTTCAGTGCCCTGAGATGACTTCTGTTGTGACTTGGCGCTGTATAAATAAAATGAATTGAATTTTAATCCGAGCTATTGTATTCACCTGTACTGGTCTCATCTGATTTGAATACAAATTTACTACAACCATCATTTACAATTTGTTTATAAGAATTTATAACTTTGAATGCAACTTCACAAAACTAGCAACTGTACAAAAAATAAAACAAACATTAAAAGGTTTCACTAAACTTGTGTACAAAGCATAAAATAATAATGAAGAAAACAAATATGGCTAAATTCAAAATCATAATCTCGAAGTAAAAAACACTGCAATTTGTGATTTACGATTTTACAACCTCATTAGCAAACGTTAACTCAGCAGGTACCTGAATGCAGCACCCAATGTAGAAGCTTCAGGTTACCTACTTAAACCCCGCAAAATAAACTAAAACAAAAATGTTGCCTGTGATTTTGTACTAACTTTAAATAAAGGAAAATCTTACTCGGAAATATGATCAGAAGACGTACATTAGCTACCCGCTGCCTTGGGTAACGAGCTAATGCTAACAGCAGACGCCAAAGCGCAGAAGAAGAAAAAAGATGGCCTCCATATTTCCAGCCGCCAAAAACACAGAAGAAGAAGAAAAAGAAGAAGAGCGGTAAGTGAAGCTTAAAATTAGCCTCCAACCATTTCACCACTGGTAAATAAAAATTCACATATTGTCTGAATGGTGATGCAAATTAGGCATTTATACAAATAAACATACATTGTTTTAAATCACGAGTATAATGATTATAAGAGTTATAATAATACAATTTCCTGTCTAACCGCTAAAGCTAAGTAGCTAACTAGCCCGCTAAAGCTAAGTAGCTAACTAGCATCCACTGCAGATTGTCGTCAGATTTTTGAAGCTCTGATATGACTTTATGTGCTGCAAAATGTAAATAAACACAATGATTTGCCACTCATTTAAACTCTACATGTAAATAAAAATAAGACAACATATGAAGTGAAAAAAAACCCAACTTAATCAAGAATTTAATTAGCAATTCATAGTTTTTAAAGTTGAATTTAATAGATAAAAATGATGCAGGATCTCACCAAGACTGGTTTAAAATTAATTTAGATTCATAAGCAACAGTGTATATTATTAAGAAACGGATTTGTAGAATTTGCAGTATTTTTGTAGAGAAGGGACAAGGAACTACAAACAAACAAACAAACAAACGAACTGTAATCTTCAAGCCTTTCATGAGCCCTTTATTTATTTATTGTTTAAGTAATAGTTTTGTGATCTTAAACATTTCCCTGAAAATAATCCCAAGTAGTATATACAAATTTAATTGGTCATTTATTTATTTTGTCTATTTAATTTTTGCTCTAGTATAGGAAAAAGATGCATACAATGTATGTGTATTTATACATATATGAGATTGAAATTTATCTTATTCTTTATCTAGCTACAATGATTTCAAGGGGCATTTGTCTGTACCGTTAATACTTTTGTAGGATATGGAGCAACCCCCCTCCCAGAAAAGATCTTTTTCAGCAAATCCAACGTCAAACCATATTTTGTGCTTATTTCATCAGCACAAAAACAGAATCCACATTTTCAATTGACCAAGATAAGCTGTCTTTAGAATATATTTTCTCAAATTGTTCGCAAAGTCTTAGATTTTCCAGAAACTTTTACACACGTTTGTTTGTGTTCATATAAGTTAAAGTCAATTTGATGGAATCTTAAACAGTTAGAAGCAGCTGTAAACAAATTACTTTCATAAGCGTTGCAGCGTTTTCGGTCAGAGGTGTTCTCTTGTCATGAGTCAAACCTTCATGGGTCTCGACTGAGGAACCAGACTGCAGAGGAAGTTGTGCACCTGCTCCTCCCCGTGTGCAAATCTAGAGCGGAAGTGAGTTCTCAACTTAGAAAGACACAGGTGGTTGGCTTATCGTGCAGCTTACTGTACGGAGCATGGATGTAGCTGTGTGCCAGGCTGCTTCTGTTACGAAGCTGTAGCAGTTTGTTAGAGACTGGATGTACTGGGATATCGGCTATAGTTTAGGTTCACAATCAAAGCTTCAAGGTGTAGAAAAAAGGCTGTCAAACCAGAGTGCTTCGTGTGGAGCAGATGAAAACCAGTGATGGGTACAGTCCCGATTGACATCAGGAGACTCTTAATTGGTAACACTTTTATTTACAATAATTTGTCACCAGAATGATTTTATTTTTAAATCCGAATGTTGAAAAGTAGCAAACATTTTGAGAAGTGGTGAGATACTTTAGTATTTATGGATTGTGTATAAATAAGAGAAACTGGAAGGGACTTCCTAAAAACAATCTGTTAGTTTTACAGAAGTAAAGACTGCATCATACAAACGTTCCTACCTGACCATGTCACCTTAACTGTAAGAACCAGAAAATAGTTTCCACCGTGGTGACATGTATTTGCATGTCCTGCCACAACGGCACAGTGTTCTGAAAGAAACATTTACATACGTTAGCTTATTTGTATGACGAGGGAAGAAGGACATAAAGAATCAGATACATGTAAATGATCTGGACCAACCCGTTTGTCTTCATTATCATAAAGATGACTCAAATTTATGTGTGATGTTAGTGTTGACAGTTTCTTTTTTTATATTCATGTCAAATAAATAGTAGTTATTTAGCTTAACCAAGTAATAGATTACTAACCAAATGAAGAATCAAAATGTAATATTCATACCTCAATAATGCTGGTATCTTTTAAAAGGCTTTTTATTCAACTGTTTGGATATTTTTGTTTAAAATATCCGTAAAGGCACTAAAATCTCAACAAAATAAACACTAGTATGTACACAGAAACATATTTTGTTGAGGGTTGTTGTGTCTGAACCGTTACTTATTCTGTTTGAACAAAACAAAACAAAAAACAGAGAGTGGCTGCTCTCCGCTCTCCGCCTTCAGTCAATTTAGGGATGTATTTGAGTGTAATAATTAGTACTTTTCAGAAGAAAAGTCGGCTTTTTCCTGGAGCTTTTGGTCTAGACAAGTATTCAGAAGACCAGTAAAGTACATTTTTCTTCTGATGTGTTTGTACTCATCAGATTGTGAGTATTTTGTGGCTGAGATTCTTCACGATGAGAACCTAAGTGAAAGCACGGAAGAGACGCGGAACGTCCTACTGAATAACTTTGAGGTCGTTAAAGAGAGGTAGGCTTTTACATCTTGTAACTCTAATACCAGAGGCTCTGCTGAAGTGTGACTTCATGGCACCATTATCCAACATTTGCCGTTAATACCGCAAAATTCTGTTAAGTGTAGCTGTAATTGCTTTAAATACAATTTTCAATTTGCATTAGAAAGAACTCATTTAGTCTAATGGCACCAATCGGCAGACTTCCCTCCTCTTATTTATTACTGTGAACATTTTTTAAAGATTTCACAGATTTGTTTTAATCAAATATATTTATTCTGATGCAATTCCTTTTTACAAGTGTGGTGAACGCGCTTTAAAACCAAAAAGTGAAACTCGTTGCTAGTTCGCTCCGGAAGCCGGTGCTGCCTGCACTGCATGACCTGAAAGCGTGTTACAGAAAACGTGTGGTTTTGTGGTTTTCATTGCAAGAAACAGCTGCATAATTTTCAAAGCAATACTTTAGTTGACATTTAAGAAACACAAAAGCAGTGATAAACACTTTAATTTTGTTTGCATGTTTTAATTTTTCAGATTTCCTCAGGAATTCTCCTTACGGGGTGAGTGAAACATTCAGTTCAATTCAATTCGAAAATTCTTTATTAATCCCAGAGGGAAATTAAAACATCTCCTATTATCAGATGATGAATAATCCCAATTCTAACAAAGTTGGAACGTTGTATAAAATGTAAATAAAAAAAAATGCATTGATTTCCAAATCTCATAAACCTATCATTTAAAATGTTTAAACAAATAAGTTGTACTTTTTGCTTTAAAAAAAAAAAGGTCATTTTGAATTGGATGGCAGCAACACATTCATGAAAGTTGTTTCCATTGCGAAGTATCCATTTTTAACAGCACCCTGTAAACGTTAAGAACTGAGGATTCTCTCTGTCCAGCAGTCCTGGGTCTTTGCTGGATCTCTTTGTTTTGCGATGCGTCAGGCGACGAGAGGTCTGGACTGCAGACACAACAGTTCAGCACCTGGACTTTTCTGCTCCAGAGCCGTACTGTTGTTATGGGTGCAGTTTGCAGTTTAGCATTATGTTGCTGAAATCTGCAAGGCCGTCCCTGAAAACGATGCATTCTGGATGGGAGCATGTGATGTTCTAAAATCTGTGTATACTTTTCGGCATTGATGGAGCCTTTCCAGATCTGTGAGCTGCCTGCGCAAAAGGCCCTAATGCACCCGTATACCATCAGAGAGGCAGGCGTTTGAGCTGTTTGCTGATAACCGGCTGGATGGTCCCTCTTGTTTTTAGTAAGGAAGTAAAAGATGTCTGTGGCTTCCAAAAAGAATTTCAAACTTTGATCCGTCTGATAGTCCAGTTCACCTCAGTCTATTTTTAAATGAGCTTTGGTCCAAAGAAGGGTACTAGATGGTGTTCTTATCTGGCGTCTTCTTTGCTTGATAGAGCTTTAGTTTGTGGATGAACTGTGTTTGCAGGCAATGATCTGTGCAAGTGTTCCTGAGCCCAGATCAGAACCAGACCTGTTTTTAATGCAGTGGTCCCCGAGGGCCCGAAGACCACGACCATCCAGTTTTGACTTTCAGCCCTTGAGCTCAGAGATCTCTAAAATCTGCTGTAGATGATGGAGGTTTAAAAAAAAATCATACAATTTTTTGTGGACAAATATTATTTTGAAATTGCTCCACTATTTAGATGCAATATCTTACACAGCGGTGAACATCTGCCCATTTTTACCTCAGAGAGATCCAGCCTCTCTAAACGTCTCTTTTTACCCCCAGTCCTCTTACTGACCTGTTGACAGTTAACCTAATTAAATATAAAATGTTCCTTTAGCTGTTTTTGATTCATATTTCTTGTTTACAGCCTTTTGTTGTCCCGCCACAGCCATTTCGAGATTTGTTGCCGTCATAAGATTCAAATTCCTTATTTGTCTCCTGTTTCTAACCATTTCTTGGTTGAAACATTTGATGTGATTTGTTCCGTTGTGAATAAAATATTGTGTTTACGGGCGTTGGTTGTTCTGTGACACGTTTTGAAATAATTTCCTACCTGGCGTTTGCTTTCTCTTTCTATCTCACACATAAACGACCAGCCTCAGTGGAAGAAGACGTTTCTGATGACAACCGTAGCTCCAGTTTGGGTCGCTCTGCTCCGTCAGATGACGCCTCAGACTACCAGGATGAAGTCTCCGAGTGTAAGTTCACAGCAGTCCTGATTCTGGATCTCGCTCCGTGATTGTGTGTTTGAGTGAAGGCTCGTAAGTCTTGTGCCAAGTGCAGAGATCTGATCTCAATTACAATTACATTGCATCAGCGGCAAATTAAACACAAAGTATGACCATTAAAACCACATAATATCTTTATAGACACCTGTTTCTATGGAAAGGCTAAGCTCTGTGCAAACAAAGGAAATGAAAATGAGGAGACGGTTCCAAACTCCTCCGAGGAAACAGTTTGAGCACATTCACAAAGCTACGCCTCGCCACAGGAAGAGCAGGTGGATCGTTTTGTTATATTGCAGCAAACCTGTTAAATTTGGAAAAACAGACCACATGTGTGAAATTTCTCTCTCTGCTGGCCGCCTGCCTCTCTGCGGGGGACATCTGCGGCTCCGCCTCCCTCCTGGCAGCTTCAGGTATCTTGATGCTAGTGGGTGACGGAGACCTGAAAGGTGACCTAGAGCTCCCTCCAGTGGCAGATTCTGGGCTCGGTTTCTGCTCCACTGGGGGAGTTGTGTGTTTGTGTGCACGTGTGGGTGGTGGGAGGTGAAGAGGCAGCCCACACAGGGAGGAGGCTTTGTAGCTGCAGGCTAATGCAGTGATTTATTGACCCAGAGCTCTTCTATTCTTTCACAACTGGGTTTGAAATACAACACTGTACCTGAGGGGCCATGTGCGTTCCATCCCTCTCTCCTATTATCAATCTTTCTTTCTATCTTCCTTTCTCTGCCTCCCATTCAGACTTTTAGTATTTTTGACTCTAATAGTCCTTGACGTGACATGCCGCAGGTGGGCATAATAGACTCTGCAGCCTCAGGTGCCCATCTCTACTGTTTTTTTTTTTTAATCTCATGAGATAAAGCAGGATGCACATGGAATTTCTCACCACTAAAACAAGGAACATTTCCAGTCATCTCAGGATACTTAATGCCAGCTGGATAGAGCCAGACCCCATCTTTTATTTGGAAACGGTTTAATGAACTGCACCGCGCTCCGAAGAGAAACGGCTGCGAGTTCTGGAAACTAAAAGATAAATCACAGCAGATGGTGTGAAAAAGACCACAATTAGACGCAACAATTATTAGATTTTTTTTAATAATATTTGAGAGTAAACAAGGGGAGATTTCCTTTGGGAAACATACAAAATCGAACCATAAAGTTTCCCTTAAGGCTACAGTGATAACACTCGTAACTACAAATGGCACTGTTTGTTGCTGTTAAAGCTCACACACACTGCCGTTTTATTGCCTCTGTGAAATGTGAGAAGTAACTAATTATGCAGATTATTTTCCTCCGTGAAACTCCAAAACCAATGTTTTTTTCCGGTAAATAACCACACCTAACTGTTACTGTGGGATCAATAGCAGAAACATTTGACATGCAAAGGAAAAACCCCTCGCAGCCTGTTATAGCTCGGGAACTGCAGCCATGTTGGCGTAGTACTCGGTCTGCGTCCTGACTAAAAGGGCATGTTGAGTTCATAGTTCATCCTGTGTTCACAGCCCTCTGAAAGAAACTGCTTGCACGTTTCTGCTGGGCGGTGCGTTCAGAGGAAAAATAATGGCACAAGTTAATGAAATCAAAGACATTTTTCTTGTAAGAGCAGTTAGCCGTGATGACAATTTGAGAGCGAGTTAATAAAACGTAAAAATCCTTCAAATCATCAGGATTTACTGTATTTGGAAATTGATTCTGTGATTGAGAAGTTTGTCGGAAAGAACAGAGGGTTGAATCTCTTCGGTGTTTAATTGTATCTTTTTTACTGTACACAAAGGAGACCTCGTGACTTGGAGGATGTATGAGCCGTGGTAATCGACCGCCTGCCTTCGCTGCGCTGCCTTCTCTAACCAGTGAGTGAGTGAGTGTGAAGTCGATGGCTGCTTTTACACGCAGGAGGAGCCTGCGCCGTTTGATTAGATGCGGTGGCCTGTTGTCTTCAGCGGACTGGGTGACACCAGATTTGTAATGGCTGACAGGAACAGATGGAGCTTCCTTTGTTAGCCTGGCTGTCTGCATGGTAATGTGAACTGAGTTTCACCCGCCGACCGCACCGGTGACCCGACCGCGCCTGCAGCCTCACCCCAACTCCGTCTGCACCCCTCGAAGCAGCCACCGTTCGGGGCTCGTGCGCATTTTGAGGAATTTTTATTCCTCCATCATGCAGTCATTCCAGCACATTATGCATACATAAACAAACACGGGCGCGGATTTCTCCCTCTGGCGTGAAAGAGCTCTTTAACGCACATGCGCGCCCTCACACAGACACAAATAGACCCCAGGAGACAGCTGGAGATGTGGGGCTTTTAGCCCCGTCATGCTGTTTGCAGGTCAAGTTTGCCAAGTCAAAATGGCCTGTTTGTTTTTCTTTGATCGGGGAGCTCTGCTGGGCGCTCGAGGATGTTTGCTGGGGAGCTGCAGAAATGACGGAGCGCTGCAGGAAGAGCTTTGTTTCAAGAGGCGTGCAGGAAAGATGGCACTGTTGAAATGATTCCTGCATGAAGCAGCTGGGATTTATTGTGTTGTAGAACTAGAAAAATGTGCTGCATACAGGATTTCTTTCCCCTGTCTAGGTTTTCTACCCCCCAGTACAGTGCAATAATATTCACCAACATTAACTTCAATAGGCTGAAAATAAACTCGGAACAAAACAACAATAGAAGATCAAAATGACGTCATGTTTGTGTTACATTATCAAACAACTATTAATAATAATAAAATGCAACCTAAGGGTGTGTTTCCTGTACTGGGATCATAATCACACGTTTGGTTTCGCTTTTTAGTTTTTAAATTTATTTTAGATGTTGGCTTGAGATTTGTTCCAAGTTTGACACGTAAGGCTACAAAACATTTGTTTTTGCCGACTCGGATTAAAGGTGGGCAATCGTGTGTGCATTAGTTATGTTAGTAAAATATCTTGTGACCCACTGGCCGGACTTTTTGGAAACTTTCAGGAAGTAGTCCATGAAGGTGCACCTACTAATAAACTGCTTCCAACTCGATTCAAGATGGCCGCCACAGCCCCACTCAACTTCCAGAACACAAAAATGGCTGTAACTCGGTCAGTTTAACAGACATTGAGCTAAAGTTGCATGTGGTAGTAGCTGAGAGTCATTCCCAACACATACCCTGAGCGTGACATCTCACACAACGTTTTATCGTTTATTTTTAGGGTTTGACCAAAGCAGCTCCACCTCCGTCTCGACGTAAGGTGACGTGAAAGGTGGAGGGCGATGTGCATTCCTCGGAGGAACGGTAGACCTTCATTTCGCAGGTTATTTCCATTAACTGGCGAAAGTTTCAAAGAAAAGAAAATCAACCTGCTCCATTAACAGAAGTATTGGACGCAGAAGCAGATCATTCACTTTGCCTTAAATATTTACGATTTCTTTTTCTCTCGGTCGACACGTTGATTAATTAAGTAATCCGTGCAGCTCCAAAGGGACGTTTGTTCGTGTGCGCCGACCAGCAATGGGCTCTGTCAGTGATCACTTTGCTGGCCCAATTTCCTGAACCAATTACTGGCACCAGTACGCAGTTGGACAACCAATTTGAAGTTATGTCTCGGTGTTGCCTATTTCTCATTTGAATATGAGGGGCCAATGCGCAGTAACAACATTATTACACTGCTTGTAAATAGAATATTAAATCTAAATTCTGTCATTCTGGCTGAAGCTTGGAAAAGCCATTTTGAAGCGAAGCGTTTTTGAGAGTGCGGTCTGTCGGCTGGTGATGTAGGTGGGGGAGGAAACGGCCAGCTGACAAACTGAAACTCCATTAGAGGGTTAATCTGCGGTGTTTAATGTGCCAACTGGACTTTGTTTGTGTTTCAAGTTCAATTGTGAAATAAAAGGAAGTTGAGGCTTTGTGGAACAAACCGCTCTGTAGCAGTTTAAACCTTTTACCAAATTGGTTTTGCCCCTGAACAAACTTTCTGTCCAAATTTTTATATTTAAGAGCTTATTTAGCTTTTTCTTTAACTAAATGCTGCCGGCACGCTTACCTGTGACCGAGTATTATGGCCACTCAGGAAAAATAAAGAAAATTTTTTCAAGAGTAAAACAGTTGCAGCAATGTTGAGGAAAAAAGTTATTTTTTTATAACTAAACCGAAGGCAGTGAACCCCATCGTGCTCCTAAACCCAACTGCATTTGCTCATTAGGGATGCACGATATTATCGGCATGTATCGATATTATCGGATATTAGAGTTAAAGTTAAATATCGGACGTCGGCCATTCCATGAAAATAACTCACTGATATAGAAGACGCTGTTTTTGTACGACGACCCAGTGAGAAGGACGCCCGCAGCGCCAGCGCAACGTGATGACGTCACGGACGCCTACCTGGTCTGATCACGGCGGAGAGGAAGAAGTCAAAATGTTGGAGGTGTGGAAGTTTTTTTCCGTTGAGGATGTCGGATTCCAAAGATTCATGGACTACGTTGAGCCTCGCTACATCGTCCCCAGTCTGAGATATTTTTCCAACATAATCTTACCCGAGTTACAAGCCGTCATTTCCGACGTCATTGAGAAGCTAACAGCCGATAGCACGACTTGTTGGGTGAGTTTTACCACAGACATTTGGACGTCGTGTTAGCTCGTTAGCATGATTAGTCTTACGGCACAATGGATAGACAAAAACTTTGAACTTAAAAAGTCTGTCCTTCATGCACAGGAGTGCAGAGGATCCCACACTGCAGCTATAGGAACCTGGAACAAGCCTCCACAAGTGAGACAGCATCGCAGGTGACTAATGCTAATAAATAACATTTAACACTTTCCATTTAATATGTTGAAGTGCATATGGCTGTTACTGAATATATGTCACCAGCTCTTACAGCTTTACACAATTTTTGTAGCAAATAAGCCTAAATAAGAGGTCTATGTTCTGACAAAGGAATGTAAAAAAAAAAATATCGGTATCGGATATCGGCCAAATAAGTTTTAACATATCGGATATCGGCCAAAAATCCAGTATC